AAAAATTTTTTTTATACCTCAAAACATGTATAATAAAGCCTCAAATTTCATTTTCCATGATCCATTGAATAGTTTCCAAGAAAAAAATTCCCAAAAAAAACGTTCATTTTTCAGTGCGCCTGGGTAGTGTAACCCCTTAAAGGAGTGAATTTGTGTTTTAAAGCAGAGAATTTGTTCGCTTTACTCCATTTGAAAAAGGAACGGAAAGTTAAGCATACGTTTATATTATCAATTTTATCTGATAATACCTTTTTAAAGAAGGAGAAGCGACAATTAAAAAACCTGTAGAAGGTCATTTAGGGTCACGACCTTGACAATATATAATATGTCAAGAATATTGAAATCAACGAAAGATCGCTCATTTTTTTCAAGTTTTATCACAAAAATACCTAGGCATAATGAATAATTTTCGATTATATTAGAGGGTTTGCGTGTGATCACCGTGTCTTCTTTCATGGTCGATGCCAATGTTTCGTGAACCATGCTGTTCACTTCATCAGGGCGAGGGGTGCACTGATACTGAGCTGCTTCCCCGGGGGACTCCCTTTTTATAGATAAAACGCTGTCGGGAGGGGGGGGGATTTTGGGAAGTGGGAGGGATACTTTGTTGGTCTGTCATGAGAGCAGTTTTCCATATCTTGCTCACAGTATAACTTGAGTCTCTATTTAAGTTGTCTGGATGTTTCTCTATTTAGTTCGGCAGGAGTGTACAAAATACCCTGTTCATGCGGGAAGGTATATTGGCGAAACCGGAAGAACGGTCAACACACGAATAAAGGAGCATGAACGGGACGTCAGGCTGAAACACGTCACACAATCAGCCCTGGCAGAACACAACTTGGAGACAGAACACCGAATACTATTCGACAAAACGACAACCTTAGCCACGACAACATCGTATTTCCCGAGGAAACATAGGGAGGCCCTGGAAATACAGAAACATCCAGACAACTTAAACAGAGACTCAGGCTATACTGTGAGCAAAATATGGAAAACTGCTCTCATGACAGACCAACGGAGTATCCTCCCCCCTCCCGACAGCGTTTTACCTATAAAAAGGGAGTCCCCCAGGGAAGCAGCTCATTATCAGTGCACCCCTCGCCCTGATGAAGTGAACAGCATGGTTCACGAAACGTTGGCATCGACCATGAAAGAAGACACGGTGATAACCCGCAAACCCTCTAATATAATCGAAGAAGATAACCGTGGAAGCCTCAAATGCGTAATGAATAATTTTGTTAAACAAACAAGTATATGTTTTTTTACACCAGATATATCACATTATTCTATTCATAAAGGTATTAGGATATTACAATTATCAAAAAATTAATGGTTTATTTGAATAAATGAGGCATTTAATGTGTCATGTCAATTATGCCAGAGAAATATTTCTATAATATCTCATAAGTTATTGGTTTTCTTCTATTTCTAACTTAATACTTTGATATGCAGAATGATTATAGAGAAATCATATTACGTAAAAAATCATATAGTTCCATTTTAAAAAGCGCAGATAAACATTACATCTTTTTCATTGCGTCCCTCATCGTATTTCTATCTAGAAAAGAATAACGTGATCATAATAGGCCTCTCGATGCAGTTGCACTTTCACAGAAAACATTTTTAAATACTTTTTGAAATATGTCGATGTCAAAGTTAGATTGAGACATTCTGTATACCTATATACCTATATGCGAGTGCATGTGTGTACACAGTAATTCTGTTAAATAATTATTACATTATAATCCATATATATTGATTGTGATCCTTAGCTCCTGTTATCCGCTGATGTACTAAGATGGATCTATTTTGTCTTTTGTAATCTGCACTACTTTCGAACAGATCAGAATAGAGGGTATGTAAGAGATCATTGACTCGATGAAATCTGGAACTTGTGTATCTGAATTGAATGAGAAAGACTTAGTTATGCCTTTAAATAACATTATGACATATGCGTTATGTATATGCATATTTTAATTGCGTTAATAAGTAATCAGAAGTCAGACTAAATTAGAATTTTTTTATTTACTTTTACGTTTCTATATAATATTTTATATATGAGTAGAAGATTTTCAAAATGTGTTTGCTCCAATATTTACAATTCAGTTTCAGTTGTTTTAATATATAATTTCAGAAAACGAAAAAGGAAGCCATCAGAAAATTACGCGCTTTACAGAAAATAACAATTTGTCAATCATTAAGTTGAGAAATATTAAACGAAATTGCTAAACAATTGCTAAAAACTAAAAACATTAAACAAATGTATTTTGTTTGTTTTTAGTTAAAGGACTATGCCATTCTTTCTTTTTTCTTTGAAGACATTTTTCAGGCAGAATATCCGTGGAAATATCCGTTATCCGATTGGATAATTGCCCTCCCGCATATCAAATATCGAAATAGAATTTGATGCAGGGCATCCAATATCTGGTACCCGATAGTTTACTATTCGGAGCATCCCTAAATAATGACATGAATAATTTAACTTTGTGTAAATATCCTGATTTACAGTACATGTCCGGTTTATACTT